ATTTGACTGCATTGCTTTCATAGTGTAAACGTTCATGTGGTCGGAAGCATTCAAATGGCCACAAGAGAGCACCTACTCTGCCTACTGACCCAATTCTCATCACGGGACGTGCTTTTGAAGCACACTAGCCAGACAGGATTTAAACTTTGCTGTCTGAAATAAAAAATAAACCAATGCTAAAAGCACAATGTTCTCTTACCATTCCTGGTTCTAACACAAACCCACAGTGTTCAGCATAGTTTTGTGGCTATCAGAGTAGAAACGCAAAGCAAAGCTGTTACTCTCTGTAACATTTTCCTTTGTCTCCTTCGCATTCATAAGTAAAATGTGCATGCTTTTTTCGCAATATTAGATCAAAAGATCAGACAAGGCCCATACACACACCCACCCATAGACCTCCCCCTCAAAGAAATCAGGAAAGTGGTTGATAATGCAACATTCATTCACAGTAGGAATAAATATAATCGTAGACCCACATGATATGCACAGAATTTAAGTTTCCAATTTATTGAATTATATAACATCTTAAAATTTGTAAAAATGTAATGCATTTTATGTTACTGTAAATGAACGCATTTAGGCAGTGTGAAGAGAGAAGATCAAATGTGTCTCTGTGTACATATATAAAGTGTGTACTTGCAGTGTGTTTCCTGTCTAAAACAGTTGAGAGGGTGTTATATTTTTTTCATTTTCAGAAAAACATTGAGTGGGCTCCTAAGGTGGCTGCATATTTGCTCGGTGAGTAAGGAATGTGGTTGCATGCCTTGCTCATAAGCCAGATTCAGCTCACACACAGTAAGAGCGAGCGAGAGAGAGAGAGAGAGAGATGGGGGGAGACAGAGTGAAAGTAAGCAAGAGAGGAGAGAGACAGGGCAGACTATGCTCACGGCAAATGAGCTCATTCACTCTAAGGTCACAGAGAGAGAAGGCGGGGAAAGACTTAAACGGAGGCTGTACAACAATAGTGAGCTCCACTTTCAGTTGTTGCCACACTGAATGAGATCGAGGAAGGATCCGTGGCGCTCCTGAGGAAAGACCACACACTTCTTCTGCCCTCATTTCTGTGAGGGGGACGCGGTTGTTGCTTTCCTGTGGAGCACCTTTCGGATATATAGTTCTTGGACTGCGATTCGGACTGGTTGTTGCGGATGCCCCTAGACGTGGTCATATCCCCTCCAGAGAACTGCTTCTGGTCGGGGATCCAGCAAACAGACATGAGGCTCAAAATCAGAGTCTGCAAGATGAGAAAAGAACGCAAGCTAAGAGGTGTGTAACATCTGTTGTCACCTGGACCGATGGTGCTTTTCCAACTGTATCTGTCAAACATGTGTTGGTTTGAGGTTATGCGCTGTTTCATCCTCTTGCTCTTTCTTTACTTTTGTCCCAAATATTTGCAACTGGCTGATGTTAGTATTTTATTTAGAGTCGTTCTTTAAACATAAATTTATGTTAAAGAGTTAAACATTGACCTATCATTGCTATAGAGCTTCTATGATTATCTCCTCGAATAGTAGAAAATTAAACGGACGTGCATAGGATTTATTGAAGGTGAGTATATTTATTAATGCACTTTCTTTGTGTGTGTTCATGGTTCATAATGTTATGCATAGATGCAAGTGTATTATTTGAGTTGCGTGTGCATTCTACTGATGTCACCAAGTACAAGTTAAACAGTTGGACTTTGCCATGCAATTGACTTTTATTCCAGTGACGTCTACGTTTCTGTAATGGCTTTAGGGCAGAAATGCAATAATTGTAATAGTTAATGATTCAATGATACAGGGTCCCGGGGTTTAACACTTCTAATCTGTCAAGCATGACAACAAAGCGCCGGGAGTGATGAGGTAGCCACCAACCCCCTGCTGTTTTTTGTGTTCCTCATTGTGCAGCATGCATGTGTGCAATGATGTCATTGGGCCTTTATTGAGATGCTAATGTGTGTGTGTGTGTGTGTGTGTGTGTGTGCGCAGAGATTGGGACAGATGGGGGCTGCTCCTCAATGGCGTCATGTCTTCTGCATCTGGAGACTTGTGTGTGTGTGTGTGTGTGTGTTGATGTGCATTAGTTTCATTCAGTGGTCCATCAATGCTGCTGGATGTAGAGCCTTGAATGGAAGCCTGTTTGAGAGTGGCTATAGAGCTCAGCTGAAAAGATGAAAAACTGAGGGGCTCCTAAAGATGGAGGTCAGGTGCCGCAGGACAATGAACTGATTATCAAAGGCTGGAGTTAATGAACTGTGCACTCTGTGTTATTAAATACAAATGCGGCTTGAGAGTTCATGGCCATATCTGAAAAATGTAACCTTGTTACCTCGTCTCCTTTGTTGCACAGTAGGGGCTGCAGGTAGAATTTAGGTAAGTATCACACAAGTCTGCGGTGACCCGAGCATTGTAGGCTCTGCACAAGCTATTCACCCTGCAATTTCACATAAATTCTTCCATGATGTTATGTTTCCTCTGTACGAGAAAGGTTATTACACTTTTCTGAGGAACTGAGGTCTGAGGCACGTCAGAGAAGTTGGATGGTGAATGGAGGTTATGTAAGCTTTGGAGAGAGAGAGAGAGAGAAAAAAAACAGAGGAAGTGTGCGAGTGACACATTGCCTTTTTGTCCAGCGTGAGATTGACCCTGGCACACTTCTCTTGCTGAAAACACACATGTACTCATATGCCTAGTGGGTTTGAGAAACATCACCACTGCCCTCTTTCGTAACTGGAGTCTATAAAAGTGACAAATGTTGCCTAAGTCAGTCGTGATTGTAATTGTTAGTGTGCTTCTGTGCATTGTGCATATGTATATTTATTCGATTGTACAGAACACTTCGGAGAGTCCTATTTGCTCTAGTGAGAACATTAATTTCTTTTAAATATGTTTTTGAAACACTTCTTAACTTGACTGCTTATGGTGCAAATAATTGTTCATATTTTTGCGGCATAAGTAAAAGTAGGCATTCTTTGATTCAACATTAGCAAGATGTTAAGACAGATACGGAAGCTTATGGTTTCCTTGTAATCCTAACTGTCACCACCACCGCCCAGTTAGAAATGATAGCTGATGACCTCACTCAAGTATTTCCTCTCTTGGCCTTTCAACAATGTGGTGCTGTACTTGTTCCTGTTTGTGTTGCTGTGGTCCAGTAACACGTAGGAAGCTATATAAAGCACCCCTGTATATCTTCGAAGCAGGACAATATTCCAGATCCTTGAGGAGATGAAAGATCACTTCCAAAAGAGATCTTGTCCACTTGCCTTTTGAGCTGTAGTCTTGCTTTCACAGATCCCAGATGCCCTTTGAAATCCTTGACCTTTGAGTTGAAGGAAGAGGGATGGGAGGTCAGCATTGCTTCCCTGTTTTGGCAAAAGTAATGCACTTGAGGAATGTGGGAAAGGAAGTCTGTTTTAACAAGCTTTAACCAGGTAAAATTTGGAGTCTTACTTGGGTATTGCTGACAGTGTTGACATAATGACTAACCCTTTTTAGGCAGTTATGTCACTAGGCCGGTGAGGGGAGTTATAGTTGGGGAATGGGGAACAGATATCCAGGATCTGATGGTTGTATTAATGTGTTTGAATGTATTTGTGTGTGTTTGTGTGGTTTGGGGGGAAGGGTGTATTTGAACCAGTATGGGGGTCGTAGAACATTTGGTCGGCAGTCATTCATCTACTGCTGGTTTCGAGAGCATATGGAGGAGGCACTAGGGGCCCGTTGGTTCTGCTTGAGTGACATGCAAATCACCTCTCAGTCTTCTGTTCTGAGAGATGATGTCATTGTACAGGCCATTGCCATTAATGGCAGGAAACAGACAGGTTGTCGCTCAAGCTCTTAAAAGGACCAGGCACCCCCAAACAAACAAGAGTTGTTTAGATGGTGATTTGCACATGGATGAGAGGGACAGGTGTTCCTTGTTGTCAGTTAGGGCAAAGCAGGTGGCTTTTAAAGTTCACGGTTAATTGATGTATGATTTGTCACCCTTTATATAGACTCTGGTTGATGTCATGCGATAACGTTGAACATGGCTGTCGTTTCTCTTTGTTGTAAACCTTCTTATCACCTCACTATTTGCCATGACTCATTTCATTGACTTGTTTATTTTAACTCCTCCCACCCAGATCTGTTTAACACAGTCACTTTTCTTGGCTGGGATGAAATTATTTCATGGCTCCCTGGTTGACTGCTGTGTGTGCATGCTCCCAGGGTTACCATGTCCCAGATTCGCATGGAGCTCATCTGAGATTAAGGTCTAATCCCATCTGCCGGGGCTCACAGTTTCTGGCAGCATTGCACAGCTCAGTGAAGACTTTACTTTCTTCCTCTGCAATTCCATTCCACTTTTCCATCTTTCCCTGTTCTACTAATGAATTCTAGTTCAGCTGCTTGTAGATGCACATGTGAATGTATTTGTAGATTTTTACCTTGCATTTGTATGTGTGTTGCTGTCCAGACACCCAACGCCCTTAAAGCTATGAATCAAGGGCTTGGTCTGCACCTGTGACCACCCTCATTCTCTAAGCCTGACACAATTGTTCAGTTGAGGATATTAGGTCATTCAGGAAAAGGAGCTCCAACAGATGAATGCCAAAACTGGAGCCACCCCCGCCTCTTAAACGGACAGAATCCTTCTTTAGGCCAACTGGCCTTTGCTTGACTGTTGTGTTTGTACATGCACTGACCTAGATTAGCACAATCTTGTTCAGAACATCTGAATCCTCTCTTGCTTGAGTTTAACAAATGATGTGTGACATCAGGATATCCTTTGTTAGTATGAAAGGTTTTGACTTGAAATATGCCTCTTATTATTATAGGTTGGTGCCTCTTTGTTAACACGTTGTCCTGCTTGAGAGATTTTGAGTTGCATCCTTTACATAATGACATATTACAACAATGACGATGCTGACAGTCGCCAACTCCAGCACTCTTGTTGGTCTCGTCTTTCTTCTATCACATAGGTAGGGGGTAATTTTGTTCCTAACAGAATCTCTCTTATTCTCTATGTTTCTTTAGGTGGTTTTGCAGCATTCTCATCCTGTTTTCCGGGCCTATGTGAAGGCAAGCCAGTGGCCACTCTGCCTATGAGCTTGTCTCAGCCATGTCTGCCTGTGGCAAATGTTGGTCCCACACGAATCCTGCCCCATCTCTACCTGGGCTCTCAAAAAGATGTGCTCAACAAGGTACAACTGACTGTAACTAAGGTCTTGGAATGTTAGAAACTTCCAAAACAGGAGTAATCACATTGCATAATCCATGCCTTGGTTCTTTGCACTGTCAGGATCTGATGGCTCAAAACGGCATCACATATGTGTTAAATGCAAGCAACACCTGCCCAAAGCCAGAGTTCATCTCCGAAAGCCATTTCATGCGCATTCCCGTCAATGACAACTACTGTGAAAAACTCCTGCCATGGCTAGACAAAACCAACGAGTTTATTGGTAAGAACCAACTTGTGACAATAGGAGAAGTGATTTTAGTTTCCCTTCCCTTCCCTTTGATTGATTTTTATTTCAAGTGAACTTCACGTTAGCATGAAAAGTGAGTAGCATCCCCTGTGATGATATCAGGAAGAACAAATTTGATCCTCAAAGCAGATAGGCTATCTGGTTGTCTTGCATGTTTTGTGTTTGCTCACGTGTTTCCCTTCTCCCTTTCAGACAAAGCCAAGGTTTCCAACTGTCGAGTCATTGTCCATTGTTTAGCTGGCATCTCCAGGTCCGCTACCATCGCCATCGCTTATATCATGAAGACAATGGGCTTGTCATCAGATGACGCGTACAGGTAAACTCACTCAGACACCCTGCAGCTTGAATTGTACAGTCTCAGAAAGACATTTTCTGCTAGCTGTAATTTTATATCCATTTCCTCCAACATGTAAAATGGATCACGTAGAAACTTGTAAACAATACTTGTCTTGGCCTTCCTAAACACATATTTTGTTCAAGGCCTTTACAAGCTCGCATGATGCGTCTTTGTGTTGAAGATATCTTCCTTTCCATATATGTGGATTTGTGCTTAGGGTAATCATTCTTACTCTTCTTGTGTTTCCAGGTTTGTGAAGGACCGCAGACCTTCAATATCACCCAACTTCAACTTCCTGGGGCAGCTGCTGGAGTTCGAGAAAGGTCTGAGGTTGCTAAAGGCTCTGTCCTCGGGTCAAGAGAAGTTGGAGCAGTTGAAGGAATTGTCAGAACCTAGAGGAGAATCTTCTAGTGATCCTGAAAAGGCTCGTCTGGAGGCTGAGAAGGACAGCACAGATTTGGACACCAAGCTACCTTCTCCTTCCTCCCTCCAGCAGGGCTTTAATGGCTTGAATCTGTCAGCAGAGCGTATCCTAGACACCAACCGGCTCAAACGCTCTTTCTCACTTGACATCAAATCGGTCTATGAGCCCAACCACTGTCCTCGTCTCACGCCTGCACATACCGAGGATGTTCCCAAACTCTGCAAGCTGGATAGCCCAGAGGCCGGAGAAGCTAATGGTGTTTGCCAGTACTCACCTATTTCTGTCAGCCCTGCTTTAGCTGAATCTCCAGGCCTCTTTCCTGAGAGCAGCTCCCGACCTCGTTCGCGGAGGAAAAGCAAGCACAATGGTAGCAGTGCTGGAGGTTCTCCCGTGCACTCGCACTTCGGACACTCACTCCCCGCACACAAAAGTCCCAGTCTTGATGACAATCTGAAGCCCTCCCTGCTGCTCAGCCTTCCCAATGTGGGCACCGGGCCCATGTGGACCAAGCATAGAGACACCGTACAGGCCACAACCCCTGTTACGCCAACAGGCGAAGCCCCTTGGTTCTACAGCTCTGAGTCAATGAACAGTAACGGAGGTGGAGGAGGGGCGGTACACTTTCCTGCGCTGGGCTGTAGCAGCCTCCCTGGCCCATGCGAGGCTGTGCGTCTGCGGGAGAAGGTGGGGGAGCCACAGGACTCGAGGGGCAGCTGGCACGAGGACGCTCCCACTTCCAGTGCTGCCGATAAGCAGTTCAAGCGGCGCAGCTGTCAGATGGAGTTTGAAGAGGGGATATCGGAGACACGTTCAAGGGAGGAACTGGGAAAGATCAGCAAACAGTCCAGCTTCTCTGGAAGCATGGAAATCATCGAAGTATCCTGACATCACCTGCGCGGCCCCTGGGGACTTTTTCATACACACGGACAGGCGCCACTTATGAGTAAGGATGACTAAGAGTGGGCCTGGCAAGGTGGTGGAACATTCATATTAGTTCATAGGATTGCCGATAATGAGCGGTTCTCAGAATTGGGACTTTTTTTTTTTTTGTCTTTTTAAGCCGGTGGAACCGGACGCAGATTGACTTTGCTTTGTCTTTCTACAGTTTTTAAGCCATAGCTATCCCCAGATGACAACGAGCTGAGACTGCAGTTGCAGAATCCCTCGTTTCCTTACTCTAGAAACAGACC